AGTCCCGTTATTACTATCAAAATAAAAGTGCAAAACGAAAACTTTACCATAGGAATTATTGGCATACAAATATAATCACTTCTCTAAAAGGTAACTCATTTTAAATATAGTTTATGTATATATAATAATAATAATAATAATATTAGTAATAAGCTTTATATTTGTATAGTGTGGTGATTGACATTATTCACCCACGGATCTATGGGTTGGGGTATTGTTCCGCACGGACATTTTAGTGAGCCGGACTTCCTGTTTCCGCCGTTCTTCGCTTCCCGTCCATGAAGTTGTTTACATGTGTGTTCCGATGCTAAATAAAAGTCTAGCTTGTAGCTTCGATACCCCGCCTCCTACTCCCATCTCTCGGCACCACAATAGCACCTATTACAAGAATTGTAGCCAAACTCGCTTCACAGCAGTTCAATAGACAGATTAGTATAACATGACATGATAAAAGCAATGTAGAGAGCAGCTCAATTTCACACATAACAGTCCACGAAGGTTAATACATGAAGACTTTGACTCGGACTTGACTGGTACTCAATTCTTAGGTGACTCGACTTTGACTCGGACCGACACAGGTAATGATGACTCGGACTCAACGACTCGGATACTCCCTTGGGTGACTTGAACTTGACTCGGACTCGATCACAGGTATGGTGACTCGACCGACTCGGACACTCCTTGGGTGACTCGGACTTTGGACACGGACTCGACTACGACTCTCCTAGGTGACTCGGACTTTGGACTCGGACTCGAAGAGTGGTGACTCGAGAGTGACTTGGACTCGTAAATCGGTTGACTTGACTACAAACACTGTTTGAAGTGCCGAGCCACGTAGAAGCACGTGTATTACATAGTGTTGTCACAATGATACCAAAGTAAACATTACTAATCCAATGGAGGGTTTCATAAAGGGGGGGTAGTGGGAGCGGTACATTTTGGGAATTTAAGCCCCTTTTGCGACCATTTTACATGCACAAAAAACCTATAACACGATAAAGGAAACGGAAAACCCCCAAAAACCCCGTCAGAGGGCCCTCTTTTACGCCAACAAAAATTATGGTTAAAACGTTTGAGTTTACTTGGTGTTTCGATCTATCCAAATGTGAGAAAAACAACAATTTTTCTTTCAAGAATTCCCAGTAACAGTGGGTGAGTAATTGATGTTAATGGTCATTTTTGTGGGTAAGTATTAATGTAATAATGTGTAAATCAAGGGACTTTCCCTAAAACAGTTTTAAGTTGTTATTGCTTCCATTTTATTTGACTGCCGGTGACTTTATTAAAGCTATTTCCCATATGTAAGAAATGTTATCAGCAGAGACAAAAAATCTTTGGCCATAACCCCAGTTTATCTCTTATGCCCGCAGATGTGGTTTGACCCATTTTTAAAAAATGTAGCAAAGTGGTCTCAATTAGTAAAAAGGACACCTACGTTAACATCCTAGGTAACATCTGAACTCACCCTTATACCACATAACTTCAGGTTTAAACCCATTTGTACTCCAAAATCCAAACCATGACAGCGTTATCCAAAAACAAACCACCTTATCTGGGTCTTTGGGCCCTCATGAAACTGTCAGCANCGTTGTAAATGGCTTGATGGAAAGCAGGTGTGTAGTCGGGGAGGGTGCACAGCTGATTGCAGCAGGTGAGTGGAGGTTGAGCCGGGAGCCAGGAGTGACAGCCACCACGCACACACAAACAACACAGACAGGGGGAAACAAACAAACACAAAGGAGACGGCTGGAGCAGTACAGCCACCACAGCGTTACCTAATGCAACTCCACACTACGTCTTACGGTGCCGTGTACCGGAGGGGAGAGAGAGAGAGCAGCGAAGGGGGGGGAGAGAGATGTAATACGGTTTCCTGATAAAGCTGTGGAGAGTATGTGCTGCAGGGAGGTGGATGCACAACGCACCCAGGAACGAACGCTAGCTCCGGTCCTTTTTACTGTGGACTCGATGTCCTGACAGGATGGTATTTGTGCAACCTGCACAAACACAATACTGCACCATGATTACAAATGGTGAAATACAATGTAAAACTACCGAAAAATACCAGCTCACTAAAACACAACCGCTCAACTCAACGCAACTACCCTTATGTTTCGTAAAACATATCAAATCCTACATTCACTTTTTTAATTGTAATTTTCAAGCAAGTTTAAGCATAAATGTAGAAAAAAAATAAACCTGCAAGATGCTCCTTAAGCCTCTGCTAACTCGTAAAATAATATATGTATATAATTTGTAGGTATTGGAAACTGTAAAAGGAATTGGTTAGGAGGAATATCAAATGAATTTGGTTATATTTCACGTGTAAAAAGATGATGTCTATACCAAGTTTAAGAGTAAAATTAATGTAAATAAAGTGAGTACTGTATGTGGTGACTTGTCGGGGGAACTGGGATGCTGAAGGGTTTAGTAAAATAAGAATAAGCCTAGAATAGATAAGATAAGATCAAATGGACACTTAATAATCCCTGTTGGCAATTAAGGCGTTTAAAGCAGCAACAGAGGGAGAGTGAACAACAGGACAGTACAGATTCACACCAGGAAAATAAAATAAATAATTAAATTAGAATAATAAGTGATCTGCTTAGACTTGAATAGGTTTGAACTGAAAAGTGCTTTAAGAGTTTCTTAATTTTTCTATATTAACAATGTAATAATATGAAAAATACACATTATGTGAAAGAAAGGTCACTTGGAGTGACAAAGTCAAAGAGTGTCAAAATAGATTCTGCAGTTCCCTCTCGCCTTCTACAGTATTTCAGCGCCTATTATTAACTCATTGTTTAGGATCCACAACAGGCAGCTGGTCAGCAAAGAATCACAAACAAATGTATTATAGACTATCTCAGCACGCAGACAAAGTGGATAATGCAGAGGTTAATAGAAGGGTAATATGTAAATACATCACAACTTGGACTAATATGTTGAAAGGCAACACTTGGACAAAATAAGGCAAATTACCAGCTGTTTTTCGGTTTCAAATTCAATAAGACTTGGAAGTATCCTTGGATACTTCTTTTTTAATCACCAGCTGAATTAATTGCAGAAAGCAACTGAGAAAAACATTGAAGCACAAATAATTCACAAGTTCCAAATCAAACTAATCTCCAGGAAGGTGGTCGCCCTTCTTTTCTTTTTTTACGCATGAATTAGCCAACAGAAGAATTTGCTTCTATGCAGTCATGAGGATTCACTTATCAAAGTTTTACAGCCTGAGAGAAGTCCCTGTGGAACTGCCGGAGCTTAAAGAGTATCCATGAGAAACTTTCTCATTTAGAGTGAGTAAAACATGTGAATGTTCACCCCAAAACATGGAAACACGGAAATGTTCCCTAATGAAAGCTTCAGCGGGAGGCTTCATTAGTCGAAGGTCTCTAGAAAGTGAAATTCTGTGACACTGCGCCGACTTCACAGCCAAGTGTGCGGAAAGGTTGATGCTCACAACATATTTCCCTCCTTACACACAGCATCCATTATACCAACACAGTATGAAGTCATTTCCTTTTTTTGTCACATACAATCATATTTCTTCAATGGCCCATTTTTTTCCGGTGGTTGGGCTCATGAATGTTTACAGGTCACTGTGGAGTGTGTGAATGTCGAGCATCCCCCATATTTCTGAGGCTGCCTGAGTGTGAAAAACAACCGACATAAATCTCTGCATTGCAGTGGCTTTCACCAGTTCATGAATTGGAACTTCATTCAGTAATAAAAAAAATCCCGCACTGTGTGTATGTGTTGCTAGCGAAGCAGAGGATGGGAGGATATTATGGCCTGTATTTTTCTGTTTATTTGCAAGAGTGCTTTGCATGAAGTATCCGAGCCTCGGCAGGGCAGTGGCTAATGAGCCGGCTATGAAGATGTAGCGAGGACTGCTGCTGCACTTCTCAGGATAAAACACCCCGAAAGTCAACAATCTACCTCACAATTTATATCGCAGTTTACTTCAGTCCTTTTCTCAGGCTTTTTGAAAAAGGGTTTTCTGATTGCTGTTATTATGATTGCACCAATTGACAATACACTACAAAAACTCAAAATCTTGCCAAGTATATTCGTCTAATATCTAGTCAGAATATGTCTTTACACCTGCTATAAGACATAATAACTTCAGAAGTAATAATGCAGTTAGGTATCGGGTCTTGTTTTTGGACAATGCATCATCTTATTAAGTCAAACATATTATTTTGAGTTGTATCTCAGATTAAAATTATTTGCAAAATCACCAACTGACTTCAGAGAACAGAACATTTTGAGCATTTGCGGCTTATATTGTAACACAACATTTCCTGATTCTGGTCAAATATAGTTCAAAATAAGTTCTCCCAGCTGCACAAGATCTGGTTTATCTAAATATCCCATCTTCTTTCAAGAAATCTTACCAAGCACATTTTCACTTTTTCTATTGGGAGATTTTTGTACTCATTTCAAGTGAAAACAGCTTGTTTTCATAATTTATTTTAACTTGTTTTTGGAGCAGCATTATTTCCAGTGTTTTTTTTTATTTTTTATATTTTAATCGTTAAACCTTTATTAGAATTATGGCATTTTTATTACTATTATATTTTTATTTGTATTTATTTTGTACCTATATGTTCCCTTTGTTTTAAGGGGTTTTATATTTTTGATATTGGTGCATGGATTCAGTTGTCTTGAGAAATCATTATTTATTTTAATTTTTATTATCATACCTTTTACCTCCTTGTGTCTATTAACACAAGGAATCTTTTGCTGCACTTACCTGTAAAGTTCTCACCAAATAATCTGAGGGGAATTTCTTGTTGTTTATTTTTAACTTGTGATGTGTCATTTTGTAAAGCACTTTGAGCATGTGTTGTATGAAAAATATATAAATAAAGCTTTATTATGTTATTATCAGATGTTTCAAATTGAAGCACTGGTGTTTTCAATTGTGAATAGAATCCACCGTTTTGTTCTCACTGGCCACATCTGTGTATCATACGACCATTTTGTTTGACACATACCTGTCTTGGGCTCCACTGAGAAGTACGGCTGTCCGTGCACGATGCTGTAGATCACCCTGGCGCTGTTCCCATACGTCGGGTCATCTGCATCTGTGGCTGCCACTTGCACTACCATGGTTCCTGTGGGCAGACAACCCTTCATTAGTTTCCAAGACAGCATCAAGAAGTCAAACAGAGCTAAATATGGAAACAGTTATCATATCAACTGAGCATGTGACCAATTCCACTTGAAAGAGAGGGGGGGAAAAAAGAGTGAAAGCGATGAAAATGTGACTTCTGAGGCGGTAAATAATCTCGTTAGTCATTACTACACTTCCTTTGTTGGGCCTGGTGTTTGGTTTTGAGTTTTTTTTTTCTTTTGTATAAAGTTTAAAGCACTTCAGCGGCAGCAACAGATCTGACATGTGCTGTGTGCTGGCACTTTGCCTCAAACGCTGCTAAGAAAACATAACACATTGGGTTTGTTGCCGTCTTTTGCAGGGGGATAAAGTGTAACTGCGAGCCTTTGGGGAGCATTTCGCCGCCATTGTTTCCATTTCCCACCCCCGTATATCAGTCAGAAGCATCTTTTCCCTTAACTTCAATCTGTTGATTCTAATTCAGCAGCCAAATGGGTTGTGTAACCAATCTGTGCTCTTTTTACCAGGCCCTTCACCCCCACCATACACTGATCCAGAAACTACTAAAAGTCAGAGTGCTTGAACTCGTCCTGCAGTGATTTAGTCTTTTTTCCACTAATTAGAGCTCATTACAACTCTTTACATTCAACAATGTATTAAGAAAAAGAAAGAAAAAAGGCACAGGGAAAACATTTATTCTGCCTGTATTCTTTTTTCTTATTTGTTTGTGGAAATTGTTGTTATAAGCACAGATGGTAACACAGGCAGTTACTGATTTAAGGGTCCATAAACTGCTTCTGGAGAGGAAAATGTAACTATGAGAAACGCATCTTAAATGTTGTTTGTTGAGGAGGTTTTGTTGGATTCTGGTGCTAGTACCATAGACTGTATAAAGGCTAGTAAACAGTGCAAGGCAGACCTTCTGGTCTAGAAGGATACATATAACCCTTAGTGCAGTCAAAAATGAGCAAGTGGCTGAATTGAATGCAAACAAAACAAGTTATATAACCAAAAAGAATATACCAAGCTAGTATCTAGTATAAAATAAGAGATAATCCTTTAAATTACACCTGAACAAAATAACCTTATTGACATCTTAGTTAGAAATACAATTATTTGGCATGGCAGCCAGAGATTCCATTAATGTTGCGATTGATTTATTATTAAAAAACAAACCCCTTCATTTAAAAACGCCTTTAATTGACAAACTAAGTATAATGTAAGGAGTATATGACTTAAGAGGTCTGCCTCTTTAAAATACCTTAGTTTGAAAACCTTAATTTAATACATTCAGTCAAATAAAATGGCTTTAAGATCATTAAATAATAAACACAAGTCTACATCTGTACTAGTCAACTCAGACAGTATAACATTTGTTGTACACAGTTGAGAAGTGATTGGCATATTTTCATATCCCTTTTGTTTTAGGGGAAACAAATGTGTGCCCAACATATCAAGCCGGATTTTGCCCCGTACTGCCCTAACTTCCTCCGAGTTTACAAGAAGGCAATTTGTTTTTTAAACTAGACTATGAACTCCGCTGACAACTAACAACTGTTGTCCCTGCATGCAGTACAGTATTGTCCTCTCCCACTCTTCCTCCAAGGCACAGAAGAAATCATCAAACATGACGCCTTATATTTATTTATTTAAAATACCGGCTGAATGCGGTTGACGTGACTTGAGCTGACAGCCGTGGCTTGGAAGGTAAAGGCAGAGAAGTGTTTGAAGATTTCACAGAGAAAACATAATCAGCTTCAATCATTGCCCATCGCTTTCAGAAGGTCGGCCATATCAGCCTTGTTTCTCTTTAATCGTTACAGATTATATAATGTCAAATAACTGATATGAATCTGATAAAAGGGAAGAGAAGCCAATTAACTGTTAAATTATCACAATCAACCAGCATGGAGTCTACGGTTTGCTGTGAGACTGTAAGTCAGAGTTGGTCTTAAAGCTGACGCCTGCTGCGATGAAATCATCAACAAAAGACATTTTTGAAATAACCTTGGAATTGAAAAAAGAAAAACAATGCCTTTTCCAGCTGCTCATATAAAAAGCTGCTTTAATATTTCACTTTAACAGCTAGCTGCACATATCTCAAGCCTTTGTAGCATTTGACAAAAAGTGCTGTCTTGCAAGTTGGTGATATTTTATTTTGAAGAAAACATCCTAATAAAAATCTCACTTTCTATCATGAGACGTTTTTTACAGGCTTTTTACCGGATGAAACTGATCATGGAAATTGAAGATTAGAGTCCTCCTTTGTGGCTATAAAGTGGAATTAACAGGCTCTGGCTGTGGATATGAACAATATAATAGAAGAGGGAGAAGCTGGAGAAGTTATCACCGGGCGGCTCGCAGAAGGACACCTAGATTATATCATCACCTCTTAGTCATGACAGGTTATATTGCAGGTAGTTTTAAAACACCAAGGTCAAAGGATGAACGAGAAGAAAGAGTGTGAAAGAGAGCTCGGGTGACGTCTAAAGCTCTATTACAGGTTGATAGTTAAAATCACGTCACAGAGGCTGTAAATCAACATTCAATATGGACTCGGAGAGGTTTTATTTTTCTCTCCAGGTTGTCCAACAAAAATCCTGTCCTAACAATATTGCCAGAATGAAAGGTTATCTGAGGTGGGTTACTGGATGTCAGAAAAACACCAGGAAATTTGAATAGATTCTTTCTGCTCCATGAGGCTGTCATCTGCTACTCAATTTGCCCCGTCTGTGTCCCTTCAACATTTGTCCGTCTTCGTGATAGATCAGATCCTGACTTTTTTTTTATTCATTCCCCCGCAGCTGTGTACAAAACAGGTTTCCTAATCAATTCCGCATCTTGGGTGACCAACTGTCATCTGCACGTAATGAAAATAAATGTGGCATGCTTGAATCTGAATGGAAGACAGGTATTCTCAAAACCACTTGCATATACAAGCTGCATCCAACTGTCAAGTACAATGAGCTTAGCGCACACTCTGAATGCAAATTTAAAACCAAGGATGTGACCATTATATTAATACAAACAGCATATGTTGTCAAATAAGCATGAGCACACATTTAAAATAATATCTTGGGCTTTGAAATTGAAATGCGATATACATAAACAAAACAGTAGTATGAATATTAAAACCTTCTGTTTAAGCTTTCATGAGTATTCAAAGCTGTCACTGTTGATTAACCTGATTATGCACATTCACACCTGCTCCACATCGCTTCAGGGATTATTGCTAAGAGATCAATTCACTTTTATTTGCAATTGCCAAGAGACAATGAATAACAACACTTTTAAAGAAAGTGGCTAACTATGTGCTTTCAAGTAACTCTCAGTGGACATTTTAGTTGGTATGTGTGTCGAATGCAAACAAATTAACTATTTTGCCATTAAGTTGACTTTTATTAATGGCTTTAATGTTCAATTGTATTGGTTTAGTACGTTAGAAAAAGATTTTAGATCATTTAGGTTGTGTTTTATAAAATAACAAACTAATACCTCACTATTTACGGTCTCTTCTATAAGTAGTTTACTTCATTGAAAGATCTCAGAAGCCCTGTTTCTGCTTTGGACATTGTATTTTTCAGCTGATCCAAGAGGATTCTAAAATTGTTTATTCAGCTTAAAACATAAAATAATGTTCTCAGCTTTTAAAGGAAATCTTCAGCCTTCAGTTTAACATTTACAATCACCATATATGAAGATTTTCCCTAGACAGGTAGGTTTTGAAAACCAAAACAAATACGTTTTTTCTGATGTATGGTAGAAGCGCGGAAGCATAAAGTAATATGTAAATTAAAGAAAGTATCTTCAATTTTTACTCTTTGAGTAGATTATTTATAACACTGCCTTTGACTATGGCCTTAGTAATACACATGTAATCAAATGTAAGTATTTTACAATGTTACTAACAACAGAACATATATGTGTATGTTTTAAATTGTACACTTATTACATAAAATGCTAAAGTTACACCCCAATTACATTTTTTATTTTATTTTAATCCACTTCACCTTTCCATAATCACCTTTTGAATGTACATTATCCTGGGTCTCCTCTCTCAGGAGTCAGACAGGAGCGATGACAGCTGCATATTGCACTAGTGAGCAGTCACTTGAAGAGCTGTGGCCTTGAATTGACATTACATTATCTTTGCTTGTAATGAGCTCTCAGACTCTCCTTTGGCCCTTCTCCGTGCGGCAGGAGATCGTCTCGCCTCGCAATTGTCACACCTTCAACTGTCCTCAAGCCCTCTTGTCTTTTATTTGACACCCCCGCCACGATTAAGACAAAAAAGTCTTCAGAGATCCCCGGGCCGCAAGGTCTCCTTGTTTATGGACGAGCACGGCCTCTAATTACTTTAATTAATTAAATTCATGATTTCCTCTAAATTGAACCCATTCATCAGCGGTGCAGAGCTGTGACCATTAATGATTTAAAGACATCTATAAAGGAATTATTGAGGACAAGAGGTTCACAGCCCCCTTCCTCTGCTTTTTACTGATCGCTTTGAGCAGATATTTACAAAGAGGGGCGATGCTTTGATTCTACTGGTTGTTCTCTCGACTTGTGATGAAGACCTTCACAGGAGCTGGCAGATTAAGTAAAGTGGGAAGGGTAACGCATTCCTCCTCTGTGGTTGGTTTCTGTCTTATCTGCGGTTGGACACGAGACTCCCAGCTCTTGTACTCTAATCCTCTGGTTCCTTAAGCCTGAGCTCTGTACCCCCTGTCGACAGTCAGCTGTGTAATCCTTCAGAGATCTCCCCCCGCCCCCCCCTGTCTGTGTAGTAAGCAAAGCACTGTTTCCCTTGGAACAACTCCCACTGCCACTGTATGCAGGCAGACATCTCCATCTTGACTTTGAAGGTTGTGAAAAAACACCTTTGTTTCGCTCATTTCCATCTGTATGGAGCACACATGTTGGAGGTTTGGAGGTTATGATGATATGAGCGTGTTTATTAGTGTGAGGAAGTGCTTTAATTTAATATGATGGTAAAACCCAGAAATGTAAAGTGGGTATAATGAATAATTTTATAATAACGCGCACGTGAAAGGGGTCGAGCTTAGTGATTAACCCGCAGAAAATGATCTTCTGCAGTTCCCCCCCGCAGTGTGACAGAGCTTTCATTGTTTTGGTTTTCTGGCACACTCTCACTGGTTTAAAAGACTTGTTTCGAGCTGCAGCAGGCAACTGTTCGCTAACAAGTTCACCATTCTAACTTAAGAGGTGGTGATATATTTGTGTTTTTTTCACAGGTGTTTTTTTGACGCCTTAGGGGGCCAACAAAATATGTTTTGCCAACAACATAACACCACCTACAACCTAAACAATAGCCCAATATCCATCCTATATTAAAGCTTTGACAGCATTTCAGTCATTGAACCAAGCTACTGTTTGTCGCACACTCTCAATATCTCCTTTTAAATTACAGCGGGAGTTACTTATGTCAATGAAATTGTATATATTTAGGATGAAAACAAAGATGATGGGGCAAAAACACATATTTTTCGATAATAACTCAACTTTCTTATTGAAAAGGCAACCCCATAAAATGCTGATGTTTGTGTTTTTTTTAAACTATATATGATGATAAAAAGCCTGAAGCTACACCAATATTATATTGTTTACAGTATATGACTTGTGTCACTGAGGACAACTTTGAAATAAAAGTCCTGGTTTTTTTTGCATTTAAAAAGGCAACCCTAGTATAAAAGATATACTGTCGATTAAATATGCTAGGTAAAGAATTGGTGAACTGGACATTGTCCTAAAATATTCTTTAATACATCCTCAGCTGAATGATGCTTGTTCTGCCTTCTTTTGCAAATGTAGACGAAGTTATGTTGATTGTGTAAACTGACTAATCTACATCTAATTCTAATCTTTTCAGCACTGGTAGAGGACTGATTGCTGGCTCCCATCTTGATAATGAATTGTATTAAGACGGCAGATTGAAGTGCCTGTCAAATCATTATGTATGCTTGGTATCAAATATCTTGAATTATCTCCCCTCTCAAGAGGATGCATTGTGACATTGCAAATTACTATATTTGAATAAATGTCTCCAAAAAAAATCAACAGGCGTGAAGCAGAGAAAATACATATAATTTATCTGTCACCTACAGCAATCTTTAGGTTTAAAATTGTGTTTATCATATTAACATTTTGCTGTCAATTGACATCCAAGTCTAATTCCAGCCTCCATTCCATCACTCAGAGCTCACTTGTGATTAGACCTCAGCTACCAGCATGCCCCTGAGTGCTTTGGGAACCCCTGGCAGGAGCTGAAGGGAAGTTAGGGATGTATGTGCTCCTCTGTTTAATGGATGGAGAGGAATGTATTTGTCTGGACCAGACATTTTTCAGAGACATTTTTCTGCAGAGAGCTACCAGAAAATACCAGCCATTACGAACTCTGAGCCCAATTTGTGGAAAACATGCCCATGGCCTTCAAGCCTGACTCAGACCTTAAGTTCGCATGAGTCCGTTTTTAAACATGCGTCACTCATCAACATTGCTAAGCCTGGAGGTATGTGCTGGCATGTGTGAGGTGATAAATATGTAAATTAAGTCACATCAGACTTCATTACAATACACTGACTTTAAAACACCGTGAAATAGCATTTCCACAGCATTGTACGCTCAGTAACACCCGCTTCTTCTTAACCAAAATGTAGATTTAAATAGCATTTAACGGTGAACTGGAAAATTCATACTAAGAAAGACAAAAACAAACCCTTAAAAAAAACACATTGCTGATGAAATGTTTTAAGAGCTACGTTCCGGTAAGTTCAATATAAAGAGCAAATATGGAGATCACTCTCCACTCTGTTCCTTATGCTCCTGCTCAGTTCAAAAGCCTCTGGATGTTGTTGTGGCTAATTTGCATTTACTAGCATTTTGAGCTGGAGCGTGACCCGTTTATATTAGAGGAAATCTTGACCATGCAGCTAGAAGCAGCTAGAAGCAGCAGGTTAAAGACAGGCTACCATGATACCAGATACCATGGCTTCCTGCAGGACAGCATTGAAAACAGACAGATAAAGGAAATATAAGCTGTTATGAATGCTAATGTGATCAACGGCATAATATCTGCTGAGTCATATAACGGCTGTTTAAGGTTTTAAGCCATGCTAGCGGTGTGGCTCTGTAAATGGCAATGTCAGTCACTAGCATATCTGAGCAACTGTTGCCTGGGTTGCCATGACATTTTGGCAAACCTCCCTATTCCCTACCATGACCCAAAGACTGGGAGAGATGAAGACAAATTCAGTGAGGTGGAAAAGCATCAAATGCAGATGTAAGAGCGAGGACAAGTCAAAGATAAAGTGAAAGTATAAGAGGGAGTAGAAAAAAGGAATGAAAATAAGAGGATAGAAATAGGGAGGAATTGTAAGGGAACTAAAAATGATTATATTAGGGAGGCTTACCTAAGGGGGACATTTCCGGTACCCCAGCCAAGTATGGTCCATCAAGAAACTTGGGCTCATTATCGTTGATATCCTGGACCTTGACCACAAATTCGGATCTGGGCTCTACGGGGATATTGGTGATGCGGTCTACAGCTTGAGCTGCGAGGGTGTAGTAGGACTGCGCCTCTCGATCCAGGCGCTTCGTGGCGTGGATGTCCCCTGTGTTCTCATCAATGGTGAAGATGGAGGAAGAGCCCTCACCAGTTAACACATACTTCACCTTGCCATCTCCTTTGTCCACATCTGAGTGAAGCTGAAAGAAAAGGGAACATCAGATTAAGGGACCACAGTAGAAAGTTAAAAAATATATTGCATTTGCTCATGTTTTAAAGGTCGCCTATTATTCAAAATCCACTTTTTCATGTATTGTATTGTTAAACATGTGTTAAGAAAAAAAAAATATTCCCTCACTTTTTGTCCTGATCCATTTATAAGAAAAAACTGTATGGAAATGAGCTGATCATATTTTGGCCACTTTATGATGTCATAACGATTTTTTGTAACCCCCCCCCCACCTTATCACCTGAACTTCCTCCTAGAGCACCATTGTATTATTTTTTAACCAAATCTCTCTCAGAGGGGCGTGGGGAGGGGCTCCTTGTTTTCATCTAAAGTAACAGACAGAGAATCAGCACTTTTGAAACAGGGCTGAAACAGAGGGGATTATGGGATGCTACAATGATCTGTTTGTGTTTCGAGCCAAACACTTCAGAGACATGTTTTGTATATATCTGAGAACTATAATATATTGATGAAAAACAGTATAATAGGGGACCTTTCATATTTTAGTGGTGCTGTTCGACTTAATAAAGAATGACTTGAGGGCATTTGTCTTTAAGCGGAACACGATAGTGGTTATCAGATGATGATTACATAAGTGAGGGTGTTACTTCTTATAACATATTCATAGATAAAAATCTAAATAGATTCAACTTGAGTTTAAAATGTCATATTTTTAAGCATGTCACTCTTGTATAACGCATAATTATCTCATTTAATACTACTAAAATATTTAAACATTAGTGCAAAACATGTTTGTTGGACAGACATTTGAATCAGATCAAAAGATCAACACATGCTGCATCTGTGAATGAATCCCATCAAATTAATGGAATGAGATGAAATGAAGCCACTTACTGCAATACCATTGTGACTTGTTAGCGTTTGTTATGGTCATTACGACTGATCAAACTAGTACTTTTCCATTAAAGCCACCAGCAATAACCAGCTCATCTAAAAATAACATACTCAAGCTCTTTGAAAATAACAAAGACATGATGATTCGCCAAATGGATGTCATTTCACTTATTTTATGTGAAGCCAAAGTTGCTGCTCCATTGCCCATAATGCAACGGAATAACAAATGTCTTCCCAGAAATCTGTAATTTCATAAACTCGGAAATGTTTTAAGCAGAAAAATCTTAGCCTAAATGAACCTGATATCAAGTGACTATTGTTATCCTGAAATAGTCCAATATATAACAGCCACTGTTGAATGGAAGCCTGATTCAATCTTTCACATCATTTTTAAAATGACAGAGCACAGATGGTTGGACAGACGTGAATATTCTCTGTGCGACATATCAATCAAATTTGATAATGAAAGGATTCTACCACTTTTTACCTCTAATAATCAAAAGCATGAGCTGAGGCCATGTAGTCAGTTCAGACCTTTTAATGGCCACATAAAACATCCCTTCCTAAAATCAGTGGCGCACAAAATTCTTTTTCTATCTTGTATCTCAGAACATGCTCACACTGTGGAATTCAAATGTTTGTTTCTTGGAGTAGCTAGAATATTAATATGAGCTGTTTTATTGTTCCATAAACAGACATACTATAATAAAGTTGGAAAAGCTACATATTCTTTTAATCATTGAACCTGTGCAGTCACTACAACAAATCCGTATGGCATAGTTTTAGTCTCAGAGGAACAAGTCATGAGTTTAAAGCTGACTTTAAGACCTCTCCTCAAAGTATGACTCCAACCAAAATAATCCTTGAACAACTCTAAAGAAAGAACACTCAAAGCGTCTTGGAGAATAAAAATTACCATGACAAGTAACCAGCCTTGAATAATCACGTCTGAAGTCAAAGCTGTCTGAGGGCCGTCGACCCCTTCAATGTTCTGAACTTCAGAGCGATCACAGAATCTAACATGTATCTTAGGGGAAGGTTGTTGTTGGTGTTTTAAAAATGGACAGATGGACTGTTTTATCTGTCAGTATTTAGCAGAGTGCATATTTCTGCCTCAACTCCATCATGACAACACACCTCAATTAACAGCAAAGCATGCAGAGCAAGCTTTTAGTGGATTTTGATTATTAAATGTGTTTCCTGATTCTCAATATTTGGTGTTAAAAGAGTACAGGATAAACTTCAATTGAACCTGTAATGGTGAATGGTAAATGGACTGCATTTATTAAGCTATTTTCCATTCTTTGTGACCCTCAAAGCACCCTTACATATATACATAACTCAGATATCCATGGACATGCCATTGGGATCAATCTGGGGAACAGACATTTAAATGTGTGGACAACCATCTACCTCCCAATAAGTGTAATATCTACGCTTCAACAATGTTCTCAACCTTCCTGGTGTTTTGCATCCAATTTTCTTAAAAATTAGCCCTAGCATTCGATTAAGAAGGAAATTAAATAAAACAGTCTAACATTATGTAATGCCACTGACATTCACTTTGAAGAAATGATCTAACTATCAATTTCCCAGTGAAACTTCTAGCAATAACAATCCAACATCAGCCTGAGCACTTAATGTGTTTTTGTCAGTAGAACAATGATGATTCACAAAAAGATAGTCCTTTAGACAGAGAGGGTTACATTTCTGAAAGCTGCACTGGGAATTACTCTAAATTGATACCATATAACTAAGGTTATCACATGGGTGATCTTCCAATACTTCTTGGCAGTTTTTATGCCCCTGGAATACAATTAGAAACCGGACGATTCAGACGCGTCACTAAAATGTTCCCAATCACTGCGGTGCCAACCCACACATCTTAACTGGATAGGTGCATTATAAAAGACCTATTCTGATAGGATCATAAAGAAAATATCATTATTTCCAAGAGCCGGACTAAAACCACATTGCTTCTCTTGGGTCTGAGTTTCTCTAAAAAGCATCTCCTCGTCAGCACTCTTGTTGGAATGGTTTGTTTCCTAAAGAAGCATGAGGCGCCATTGCTGAACTCCCAGTGAAACTGAGAAAGAACGCTACCAATGAAAAAATGCCAGGAATTGCATCTCAAGGCTCATTTTCTCCACCAGAAGGGACCATGTTGCTTTTAACTCCATTGGTTACCTCTGCATGGAGATGGGTAAGGCTTAGGATGAGGTCGCTGACATGTTGCATTTGGGTTCAGGAGATCTTTGTTGTATACCTTCCACTGCATGATCCCTATTTGAGGTCAGTGGCTAACTATTGCTGATAAAACCATCAGGGTAAAGGCCTGGCATATAGAGTACTCTGATGGTTTCTCAGAACCTCTTTGATGCTACATTATTTTTATATCCTTACCCCACCTGACCCAGTGCGCAAGAAAACGAAAAGCTGGAGCAACGTTTTTTTTCCGTGAATAAAAAGTCTATAGGGGAGTTTGTATTTGAGCAATTTGATTATGTCTTATTATTATGATTATATTTGTATATCGACGAAACGGAAAGAAAATATACACACATTGTTTACACTGCTTTTCAATTCATTCCTGACCTCTCTTGTTTGTTGTAATGATAACATCTAATTATGGAGCACTCATTTTCAAGGTACACTGTACTCACACAGGATAATGTTGAAACTCTTCCTTCAATTAGTCTGTGAATGTCAACATCTCATTAAGGGAAAAAGAACATTGGTACTTTTTGGTTTCTAGCCAGCGCTGCAGGGGTAGAGAATGATTAGGTCAATATTATATTGGTGGCACTGAAGGAGTAGCTGTACAGAGGATACAACACCAAAGGTCTTTTATTAATGGAATCCATCAGGCCCGCTGATAGATGCTACGTTTGAGACGTGATGATTGCATTGGATGTTTCCTTAAGGCTCTCAGCGTGCATACGATGGCTCTCTAATGGAGCTCGCTGTGTTTATTCACCATCTCCTGCTGTCAGGAGCAAACTCTGGCTAAAGTGTCAGTGGTGGTGAGAGTCAACATTTAATCTTGAAGAAGCCATCCGTGGAACTTTCTTTTCGGTAAATGCCATTGACATGAAGGACAAGGCCAAGGGCCAAGGGTCAAGCACACTATGTGGTCTTTTCAGTGAACTTTTTGCTTCATTTCCCTCTCTGCCTGGCAGGAGAGTACCCAACAGTGCAGCAGCTGTTGCATATATTACATTTCTAAACTATATCAACAATGAGGGCTATATGAAAAATGAAAAAAAAAATATATATATATATTGTTTGTTTGTTTGTAGCCTTTATTTAACCAGGTGAAAGCCCCTTGAGATCAAAAGATCTCTTTTTCAAGGGTGACCTGCAATATATATATAGTATATATAGTATAGTATGGCAGGGCTTATTAAAGTAGCCTAGTGAAATACTTTTCTCTCATTAATTGAACCTATTTTCAAACTGTCAATTCTTATTTTCAATGGAATACTATTTAATTCAGTGTTAAATAAATACATAAAATGGCATTTTTCAAGGCAACAAATATACCATTTAATTTTTGTTTTGTTTAGATTTTTTACATAACCATTAAGATATATTTCTGATGAATATTTCTATGAAAGTTATAATTAAGATTAGAATTAAATGCCATTTCAAATTGTCAAGCAGGTATTTTTGGTTTATCTCTGTATTACTTTTACTTAGCACCATGTTGTTAATGCAGAAAATGTAAAGACTGCAATTCTTTTCTTGGCTTCCCCTGAGCGTAACTCAGCATGAAGCATGGCAATGTAGCTCAAGATCACACCAAGGGATTGTGACGGAGGGGTGGGACTAGAACACGAACCCTTCTGAAATCAAAGCTGACACTCATCATCACTTTGCATGCAGGCGGATCTCCAGGGACCAGCCTGTTAGCTTTGTGTTTGCTTGTTTACCTTGTAGCAAGGGAGAGGAGTAAAAAAGCATAAAAGATGATACAACAACCCTCTGGTACACGCCTGTCCCATCACAGCCACTGCTGCACAATGTGTACAAATTGTTACTGCATTTTTCGCGCTCTATGCTACATGAAAAGTCATGTTGGAAAGTGTGTTATTTTATTCTGCTTCTCTTTACGGC